GTATAGCACTAAAATATTAATATGAAGTTAATTGAAGTTTGGAGACATTTTAAAAAGCTTTTTTTCAGAAACGCATCCGACACTTGTGTCTGGGGTGGGGGTTGCGGTGCACGACTGCCCCTCTGAATAAGTGAAACCTATGTAACACAGTTGTTTACACTGAAATTAAAAATATTTGACCAAAGAAAAACCGGAGCAGGACTACAGAGAGACGAATATGATTTAGATTTTTATTTCTGTGGCAGCACGACGCATTGGAAACACGACATTAACAGCAGTCGTCATTTCATTCCTATGCTTTAAAACAGATCCTTTAATTCCACAGCTGACGCTGCTAAAAATGACGGGGTTTTTTGTGTGCATATCTCCGAGAGCTGAACTTCAATCTCCGAGCTAGTTCTTCTTTTTTACTTTGCGATGTCATTTATGAATGGACACTTCTGGTGAGTGGGGCAGGAAACATATATCCTTATATGGTGTTTTTAAGGTGGTAATTATATAAATCACCTCTCCTCGTGCACGAGCACCTGATACACATTCATCAGTTTACTCTCCTCATTTACACACTTTTCCTGAAGATAGAAGAGTTTGTTGAATCTGACGTGGCATGTTCGTACGAACAAAAGTAAGAGAAATTTAGGTTAAGAACACAAACATGTTCTTGCATGAGGCCCATTGTTCTGATCTTTGAGAAATAGATAATAATTGCTGTAGCAGTAATTTACAGAAATGCAATTGGGATTTTAAAAGCAACATAAAACTTATTTTGAATGTGGATAAAGTGTGTCAGTGAAGAATGATGCTGTTTGAACTCAGCAAAGATTAAAGTGGAAATTTGCTTTTACGAAGGCCTTGAGAACTAGACAGATGTACAAAACAGTTGCTGCCACAAAAGATGACAAACCATCTGAATCTGTTTCTGTGACTTTTGATTGCAGCAAAAGCTGAAGGATTTCTCCTGACTTCACTGATCTGCTCTTATCTCTGAAGGGACGCCCTGACAAAGATGAAAGACGTGTACATAAAGAACCCTCAGATGGGAGACCCAGCCAGCGTCGACCCACGCCTCACAGAGATTGGCCAAAACATCGAAAAGCTCCAATCTGAAGTGCAGAAATTCGAGGTGAGTCCACCACTTGGAGCTCATTTCTCTTCAGTGCTGGCAAAGCCTTAGTGTTTGGTTTTTCTAAAACATTAATTAACAAGGAGCTCAAACATACGTCTGAATCTGGGTCAGGTCCAAACGGGCCTGTCACTTGTCCTTATTAGGACAAGAAGCAAGGCAGCCAGAGCAGCTGGCTCCGTGGTCCTGCTGCACACAGGCAGGAGAGACTCCACAGCTGGTTTTTATCCTATGTGAACGTCTCCATGACTGAGAGTTCAATTTTTTAAATTATTGTGTTCATTTCATTCATTCATAAAACAATAAAAATCATCTATAAAAAAACAAGTCATAAAAAAATCAAAAAAACAAACAAAAAAATACTATAAAATCATGAATGAAAGAAGTATGAACTTATATCTGCCTCTATTCACTAAAAAAAATTAAATCAATTCCAAACAAGTCCACTGTCAGCATACAGGGGGAAAAAAGAAAACAAAACAACCCCCTGAACACAAAAACACAAACAGAATGTCAACTTAATCAGTAATATAATGCTTCAACATAATTTTCAAGTTGTTTTTAAACAGAAATAAAGATTTAGACTGTTTCACCTCACTATCAAGACCATTCCACAATAACACCCTTAACTGAAATACATCTTTCCATCAGCACAGTTCTGAAGTTAATTTTTGTAAAGATCTCAATACCTTTTAAATTATATTCACTTTCCCTTTAAAAAAATCTGAGTTGAATATTGTTTGGTAACATTATTTTACGTGCTTTATACATAAATTTTAAAATATTGTACTCAATCAAATCGTAAGGTTATAAATATAACCACGGTTCCTTGAAGGAATGGAATGAAGTACAACACACAGTTGTATATGGGACACGCGCGCCTGGCTGAAGCCACCTCTAATCACGTCTTTAGACCGGTGACGTTGAACATCAGGTGACAGGCTCCGCCTTCACCCTATAAGTTCGGAGTCACCAGCGTCATTACTCAGATATCGCCCTTCACCGAGCCTTTTGTGATGCGGGGCCAACAAGGTGTTGTACTTCGTTCCATTCCTTCAAGGAACCGTGGTTATATTCATAACCTTACGTTCCTTTTCAGTCATTTCACTCAGAACAACACACAGTTGTATATGGGACTTGTCAAAGCGCCCCGCAGAGCAGTATCAGACCGGAGTCAAGTAGTGTGCCTGAGTAAGTACTGTACTAATGCAGAGCTTTGGACCCGACAAAGTACAGAATGAGCCACCGAAGGTGCTTTTACATCCAGGCTGTAAAACCGTGCAAATGTGTTTGGTGAGGCCCAGCTGGCCGCGGCACAAATGTCACTCACAGGTACCCCTTTAAAAAGGGCTCAAGATGGCGCTACACCCCTGGTGGAGTGAGCTTTAACTCCAAGAGGCATTGGAAGGTTTTTGCTGCTGAATGCTAGCAAGATGGCCTCTACAATCCAGTGAGAGAGTCTTTGTCTAGAAAGAGCTTTACCTCTGTGTGGGTTAGCAACAGCCACAAACAGCTGATCACATGAACTTACATCCTGTCTGCGGCTGATGTAAGTGCGTAGAGCATGTACAGGGCACAGAAGATGCAGCCTCTTTTGCTCCTCAGATGCAAAAGGGGGAGGATGAAAGYTGGAAAGCTCTATAGACATAGAGCTGTAACTAGAAGGTATCACCTTAGGAAGATACGCAGAGTTGGGGTGCAAAACCACTTTAGAGTCATTAGTAGAAAACTGGATACAGGATGGGTTCACTGACAGAGCGTGGAGGTCCCCGACCCGTTTAGCTGTAGCTAAASCCARAAGCAAAGCAACTTTATATGAAAGAAACTTCAACTCTACAGACTCTAGGGGCTCAAATGGAGGGTCGTAGAGAGCCTCAAGAACCACAGTGAGGTCCCAAGAGGGAATACTGGGTTTAATAGCAGACCATAGCCTACGAACCCCTTTCAGAAAACGCACGGCTAAAGGATGAGCACCAGGTGTGACTCCATCAAAACCTACATGGCAGGCAGAAACAGCTGCTAAGTAGACTTTAATTGTGGAAAAGGAGAGCCCTTTATCCAGTAGCTCCTGAAGAAATGTTAAAACATCTCCTATTGAGCACTAAAACAGGTCCAGGTGCCTGTTCTTACTCCATCGCTCAAAAGCTTGCCACTTATAGGAATATAATCCTCTAGTGGATGAAGCTCTGCTTGATCTGCCCCTTCCACGTCCAAGTACTGACCCTGTCCGGGCACGAAGGCGTGGATGGACCGTGGTTTGCTCCAGGAAGACGTCAGCTCCGACACAAAGTCTGGAAACATAGGCTACGTTCACACTGCAGGCAAATCCGACCCAAATCCGATTTTTTTGACCCATCTGACTCATATCCGATTTTTTTATGACAGTCTGAACGCGACAAATCCGATTTTTTTCAAATCCGACCCAGGCCGTTTCAGTATGTGGTTTTAAATCGGATACATATCTGATGTTTTCAAAGTGACTGCAGTGTGAACGCTCATGTCACATTCATCTGACTTTTTCATCAGTGAGGAGGGGCTGAAGGATCGATAAGACACTAACCTCAAGTCTCGCTGTTTAAATCTGTAGCTCCGTGTGTTTACAGCTCCAAAACACAAGTCCAGTTGCTTCATCTTTTTACTTTTCATTTTCCACGTAGATAGTTTGATAATAATGGTCCAGCCTGGGTCGCGGAGAGTATCGATCCTAAAGTTCGATACTCGGTCGATACTTTTTTCCAGCTCGTAGTTTCGTTAAAAAAAAAAAAGCTTCACTGGAGCATCCCGGTCAGAGGCAGGTTCAGATATAAACACTGAACTAAAGAAGCAGGTCAGATAATTATTTAATCGGCTCTGATTAAACAACAACTTCCGATTCGATGAGCAAAATGTAGCATCCATGCTAGCTCTGTAAAAAAACAAGCCAGCTGATGAGACGTCACGTCTTTTACTGCGCATGCGTGTCACATCAGTGCTGTGTAGCGTTCACACAGGAGTCTGATACAGGTCACATTTAAAATGTAATGTGAACGTTCACACAAAAAGATCGGATTTTTTCAAAAAATCGGAACTGAGCATTAAGACCTGCAGTGTGAATGTAGCCATAGGCAGACGGTGCTTCACATCAGCCGGTTCAGACGGGAGATAAAACCCTACGAACCTCGATGGCTTTTGAGAAGGTGGGGGGTCGGGCCACTGTACCTCCAGTTTAGCAGCAGCTCGGCGACACAGGGATAAGAAGGACAAATCCTGGTCCACCCTCTCAGCAGCGGGGGTGGAGTGAGCTGGGCACGGCTCCTCGTTGTCTTCGGACAGACTGAGAACCTCCTGCTCCATCTGCAGAACATCGTCCTCCTCTTGGTTTAGATCAAGTAGAAACCGGGTCTCACCCCCCTCCATGTCGGGTGAGGCCGCCTCGTGCTCCATCTGGTCCGCCCAGCTAGCAGYGGGGGCTTCGACCGCCGAATCCTCGTCTTCGTCGGACTGAGCCGTCTGGCTGGATTCGGAGATCAGCAGGTCTTGTCGGAAAACAGCAGTTTCCCCCAGCATTTTCTCCAGGAATTTCACTCTCTTCTCCAGTGTCTGATGCGAAAGTCTGGCACAGGCCCGGCAGGACTCGGGCTCCACAAGTGCCCTTCGAGCGTGAATGATTCCCAGGCAGGCAGGGAAGGCCTCGTGCTGGTCCTTCTCGTGAAGCTTAAAGCCGCACCCCTGAAGACAGGGGCGAACAGAAGACTTTGTCTTCTTCAAAGGTGGTTTTGTGCTCATCGTGAACCACAAAACAATTTTCAGCAGAAAATAAAGGTCACTTAAGTAGTGTCGAGTGGCAGACACATGAACCAGCAGGTAACGCAGTTAGCACCAGTAAAGCTAGCTTAAGAACCTTAGAAGCTGAGCTAGCTAGCAGCAGCTATGTGAGCTCAGGTTTAGAGGTGACTATCGCGAGGTGAAGGGCGATAGAACTGAGTAATGACGCTGATGACTCCAAACTTATAGGGTGAAGGCGGAGCCTGTCACCAGACTTTCAACGTCACCACGTCACCGGTCTTAAGACGTGATTAGAGGTGGCTTCAGCCAGGCGCGTGAGGGCGCGCGTGTCCCATATACAACTGTGTGTTGTACTGAGTGAAATGACTGAAAAGGAACATGAAGTTTCAGTATATTCAATTGTACAAATATTAGGTTTGTATGATCTCTGTATTTAGCTACAATAATAACTCTAATAGCTCTTTTCTGTAAAAGAGAGACTGTTTTACAGGCATTACCCCACACTTCCACACAAGACGTCAGATATGGTACAATCAGTGAGTTATACAAAATATACAAAGCCTTATTGTTTAATACATCCTTTACCTTATTTATCATTGCAATTGTTTTAGATATTTTACCTTTTATATAGTTTATATTAGATTTCCATGACAAATGTTCATCAATAATAACACCCAAAAACTTTACTTCTTCTGTTTTTTTGTATTTCAGATCCTTCAACATACAAATGATCATCAACACCTTTTTTTTACTACTGCAAACCTTGTTTTACCAATATTTAATGATAATCTATTACTATTAAACCATTTTTTTTAATTTTTATAAATTCACTTCCAACCACCTGTAACACTTTTTTAATATTGTTACCAGAAAAAAAAAATAAGTTGTGTCATCTGCAAATAAAATAAACTTAAGCAATTTAGAAATCATTGTAATATCGTTAATAAACAAAAGAAAAAGTATCGGTCCAAGGACCGATCCCTGTGGTACTCCACAACTAATATCCTGCACAGCAGACTTTCTACCACCGATTTATACAAACTTTCTTCTATTCTTCAAATAACTTGTGATCCAATCATATGCCAGTACTCTGATACCGTATTTATGTAATTTAACCAATAATATTGAGTGATCTAAAGTATCAAAAGCTTTTTGTAAATCTACAAATACACTCATTAGATTTTGTTTTTTTTTTTTTTGTCTATTGCTGAGTCCCCTGACCAATCGGATGTTGTCCACATGTTTGTAAGAGCTGCGTGTGTTCCAGGGCTGGTTAGCCGAGGTGGAGGAGAGGATGCCGTCTAAGAGTGACTCAAACCGCAGAAGTGGATTCTTCGAGACCCAGAACAGCACAGCAGTGAGCAATAACTGCGCGCAGAACAGAGAGAGGTAAGGTAGACTCTGACAAACGGCAGCCCAGGATCACTGTTGCTGCCAGCCGTGTGATTTTGGATGGAAACTCCGTATGTTTTCACAGTATATTTAATGTGTGTGTGTTGGCCCCTGAGCAGCCCGGATGGCAGCTACACGGAGGAGCAGAGCTCAGAAACTCACGTCAAAGCCAACATCAACCCCACCTCCACCACTCCTGACATTGATGATGAGTTCGATGAAGACGTGCTGCCCACCATCGGCACCTGCAAAGCCTTGTACCCGTTTGAAGGTAGCTACAGAACCATCCTCTGCTTGTTGGCTGCTGCTGAGAAAAGCCTAGTGTTAGAGACAAGAAGCTTTTCAGCTCGTCTAGATGTAGAGAGGGAGGAGCAGAGGAGGGGGTTTCTCTGGAAATGTGTGGAGGACGAGTGAGAACTGAAATGACGTCATTTCTCTTCTAACGTGTTTTTAAAATCAATTGAAATAAACTCTTCTGAATGTTAATCGGTGAAAATTGCATAACGAGAAGCTGGAATGAGTCAAAGAGCTCATCGGTTCCGCTGACCCCGTTTAGAAAGGTGCAGGTTTTAGCTGGGGTGAAACCTACAAATGTGTTCTTGTATTCCCTCATCAGTCGATATGTTGTAGTATCTTTATAGTTTTTATGTTTTAGTGGTTTTTCTTGTACCTCTGGCTGCTAGCTTGTACCCTAAATTAGACAAACCCTTAAAAAGCTACAATCATGGCTTCAACAGAAAGGGTTCTAGTTGCCTTTTTCCAATAGAAATCATTTTTCACAGTCTGAAATGAGTACATTCTTCTAAGTCAAAGTAATGATTATACACGCATCCTGAAATATTTTCATGAAAAGGAATATCTTCTTTTCTTACCTCTTTTTTTTCCTGTTCTACATCAAACAGCTGTGATTGTGTAGCTTTATTTATGGGGTGCCCTTACTAAAGTTACACAGTCAAAAATTACCACCAATATTTTGTTTTATTTAGCCTTTTATAAGAAAAAAAGAACACATTTATTTTTCAAAGTCAGTTTTTCACCATATGATTCATACATTTATAAATGTCATAATTTATAAAATAAATGTTTTACTTACAAATTAAATATTTAGTTAACAAGCTAAATATTTAACTTGTGACTTAAATATTTAGTTTTGAGCTAAATATTTAGCTTGCAACTTAAATATTTAGCTAGCTACCTAAATATTTAGGTTGCAACTTAAATATTTAGCTAGCAATTTAAATATTTAGCTAGTTACCTTAATATTTAACAAATATTTAGCTAGCTACCTAAATATTTAGGTTGCAACTTAAATATTTAGCTAGCAAGTTAAATATTTAGCTAGCTACCTAAATATTTAACTTAAATATTTAGCTAGCAACTTAAATATTTAGGTAGCTAGCTAAATATTTAAGTTAAATATTTAGGTAGCTAGCTAAATATTGAAGTTGCAACCTAAATATTTAAGTCACAAGTTAAATATTTACCTTGTTAACTAAATATGTGAGGTAGTGTTTTAGGGCTAGTGGAAGTAATTTTTAGATTAGTGCTGCCCACCACTGCTTGTACCCTAAATTAGACAAACCCTTAAAAAGGTACAAACATGGCTTCAACAGAAAGGGTTCTAGTTGGCCAATAGAAATCATTTTCCACAGTCTGAAATGAACATGTTCTTCTAAGTCAAAGTAATAATTTTATACTCATTCTGAACTATTTTCATAAAAATGAATATCCTCTTTTCTTACCTCATTTTTCCCCTGTTCGACATCAAACAGCTGTGATTGTGTAGCTTTATTAGCGTCGTTAGCTCTGTCATCCTCACCTTCAGCTGAGCAGGCAGATGTTACCTGTTGGTTGAGGCTTCTTATAAAAGCTCTTCTTATTCATCTTACTGGTTTTGTGACATGGCCATGTTTCCTCAGATGTTTCTTCTTTGGTCGTGTGCGTTCGCTCCTTTCATTTCATCCTCTCTCATTGTGTGCGTTTTCCCTCATCCTGCAGGTCATAACGAGGGCACCATCGCCGTGGCCGAAGGCGAGCTGCTGTACGTTATAGAAGAAGACAAAGGCGACGGCTGGACGAGAGTTCGGAGGAATGAGGATGAGGAGGGATACGTCCCCACATCTTACGTTGAGGTCTTTTTGGAAACAAATGCCAAAGGTGCTATGACATACATTTAACTCAGCTGGTTTATGCTGTGACAGGTTTTTTTTTTGTTGTTGTTGTTCATTTTGTTACACTTTGTATGTTTCGACTCATGTGCTAAATGAGCAGGAAGGAGATTAGATTGATCCTGATCGCTCAGACGAACACACTTCCTGTCTCTGCAAAAGCAAAGGACCAATCTGATTTATTTGTTGTGCCTCAGGACGGTTGTGGCCAACAGCGTGAATGTGGCTCTGCAGCTCACAGTGTTTCATAATGTTTCACAAGTGTTGCTTGAGCAAATCGAAGGCAATTATGTGAAAATACGGAAGAGGAGCCTCTCACTGCAGTGCCACCTAGTGGTCACGTGTATACGTAGTAACCACTTGGCATCCTCATTTCCTTTTATATACCGTTTAATTATAAAAGCTGATGACTTTTGAACAAACGTGGTGTTTAATGAAGGATAGGAAGAAAAAACATCCTGCACATTTGCTGTTTTTCTGTTCGCACCTGTAAGGACAGCATGCTCAGCTTACAATCATGCAAACACCCTTCAGATCTGTTGTAAACGAAGGAACACTTCTTAAGAGTTATTTTTCTAGGCTGAAATAAAAAAAAATGTAGACCTCCCTTTTGGACTATTGCATGCTGTAAACAGAAACATTGTCCCCAGTTGGGTTGATTTTATTATATCCTTCAAGTTCACAGTAATATTTCCTTTTTTAGCCTCTGAATGTACTTTTTATAATGATAGTGTTGGTCTGTTTTGGATATATTGTTTTCCAGAACAGGGATAAAGGAATAACGGAGTGAGCTGTTCTGAGCTCCACGGTGAGCTTCTAGAGCCTGCTGCTGTCTAGCATGCATGGCTGTGGGAACCTGGTTCAGTGAAGGGGGGAGGGGCTGTTGTGTGCTTGTGTGAATTTGGCTGAGAATTTTTTTCAACCTTTGACATCCAAGTGATAATGACATAATCGCAAAAGTATGAAAGTGCACGGACAAAACAAAAAGAAAAAAATTGTATAGGTCTTCTGGACGGGTTCTTCTCTAATGAAACGTTTCGTCTCTCCTCCAAGAGACTTCTTCAGTCTGAGAGTTTCAGGCAAAATTCAGGCTTTTAAGCCCTGCCTCCATGTAAAAGCCTGAATTTTGCCTGAAACTCTCAGACTGAAGAAGTCTCTTGGAGGAGAGACGAAACGTTTCATTAGAGAAGAACCCGTCCAGAAGACCTATACAATTTTTTTCTTTTTGATTTTTTACCTGGATTACTGAGATGCATCAGGACACGGACAAAACATATATTAATATTTAGGCATTACACCCGACAAAATAAGAGCACTGCTATTCAAATGGAATTGCACAATAAATTAAATTTTTAGGATTTTTAGGATGTAAATATTTCCATATGCATTTGTAGCATTGCTGGTTTATATCATCCGATGCCAAATCTGTGCTCTCAGGCTGTGGGCCCGCCCACACTCCCTCGCACCTTGCTGTCAATCACAAAGTAACACGACACTTTTATAATTCTCAAAAAACAAATATCAACCAATGAAAAAAAGAATAAATTTAGAAGTAAATTTTTAATGTTTTAGTCAGGAAAACATGTGTTTACATAAAGGAGCAATACTACAGCCAGCCACTAGGGGGCGCTCGTATGTTGTGATCTCAACTTCTGCCTTCTGGTCTTGTCAGTAATTAAGTATGTTCCTGTGCTTTTTATGTATTTATCTTTTACCAGACATTCAAAACTCAAATATCAAAATATGAATGGAATATATAGAAATACAGCACAGGCCTGCTGTAGCTCAGTGGTCAGAGCTGCTGTCTCGTAATCCTGAGGCTGCAGATTTGATTCCAGGTAGCATCAGAAGGATCTGGCGTAAGATATTTGCCAATTTTTTTCCCATGAGTTTGATCCATGCAGAAGACAGAAGTCAAAGCAAACAACATATGCATCACTAATGGAACAGACCTCTTTAAAAGTTGTCATTATTTTCATATTTTCCAGACAAGTTGCATTAGTCAAAAAAAAGTGTCATGAAGAGAAACAAAAACACATAGATAAGTCGCTCTGGAGTATAAACCGCACCTAACTAATCACATCAGAACAGATATTTAACCTAGAAAAGCACAATAACACAGAAAACATGGCGCCTGGGATGCCAAATAGCCTTAATTGCTGGGTTGCAGATGATGTAGTATCGATGTCATGAAATGCAGATGGGAGGCAGGAAGTAAATGAAGCCATGTTTCCTTCTGTTGATTCAGTGCCTAAATTCTGTGCCGTGTACAGTTGTTGCAGCCGCTCTAATCAGGAGAAATATCAAAAAAATGTTCATGTTCCGAAAGTATTGTGTCACAAGGGAGTTAAATTTTAAAAACTTGCAGAAAAAAATAGGACAAAAGTGGATCAACGATCTACAGCTAAAAACAGGAGGTGTGGAAACGAACAATGCAACCGTTTGCAGTGACCGCTTTCTAACAGGTCAGGATCGGATCATTTAAATCATATTGTCAGATATTTTCCTCTATAGTTACTTGAATTTGGGTTTACAGAAGCTAAATAAATTATTTACAAGTAAATCCAAGCACATAGAAATAACAGGAGTTAACTTGTTAGCGTTAGCGATAGCATTGTTATCGTAGGCTAACTACTTGAAATAGCACAACTCACCCAGGCAGAAACAAGTCAACAGACATTTAAAGTTTTTTGCATCCTAAATGTTTGATCCAACCTGAAATAAAATAATTGTAGCTTTGAGGCTTTTGAAAGCTTTCATTTGGCTCGTGGTAGCCTGTAACAGTAGTTCATGTTGATCGCCTCAACACCGGGTAAATCCTCCAAGTCTTTTTTATTGAGATAATATGAATCATATCCTAAATATACTCATATTTTTTGTCATATCTCATCTGCGCCAGCCCGTTTAGGGCATTAGCGTCCTCGCTGTGATCCATTTTGTTGTGTTTTGAACCAGAGCGAATCACTTCCTGCCCTCCATCTGACATTCACGCATCATCCGGGTCATGTGACTGCAACCCAGCAATTAACAGATAACACCGATGAGAGTACTTTTGAGTGTATTGTTTGTAACGACTGCAACAGTTTTTTTGTTTGTTTTTTTCATCTAAACAACTGCAGCAAGATACCAAAAAAAAAAAAAAACAAGTTACCAACAACAATCTACCATTAGCTACCATTATTAGCTTACTTTCATCTGTCGTCCGACTCTCTCGTCATTAGTGTCGTACTGCTGGACGGTCCAATAAAGTCTTCTTTACTTCTCTTTTGAGTTTGGTGTAGTCCTTTATTGTTGTGTCACAAATAAAACAAAGCTGCAGATTGTAATGTTTATTCCTTGGTTTAGTCAGTCAGGATGAACTAAGCAGTCAAAAAATGCATCATGATAAGGAAAAACCATATAAGTAACATCAGAGTATAAGTTGCAGAAACTATGAAAAAAGTTTGACTTACAGCCCGAAAAATATGATATATGTTTGGACCTGCAAGCTCTCTATCATCAACCAGGGAGCACTGCAGCACCTTCTGCACCCATACTTCCCACAGCCTTGCTTGCATGGATCTCTGAACAGCACCTCAATGATTAGTTGTAACATTAGACTTTATTTAATAAACATATAGATTATTAACATATATTTTAACTGTAAAATAAAGACTGTAAAAATACTGTAGGATGTTTAGTTTTTATCATTTTTAAACTAAAAGTTCAAAAATATGTTACACGGACAGGGCCATTTTATTTACACACAAAGCATTCTGGGTAAATGATGACGTGGATAGGTCCTCTGTGCGAGGCTGCTAGCGAGGTACATCCACCCTGAAGGTTAATCTTGGACAATATCTGATGATCGACTCTTTTAAATAGGTGTCAACAATAGCCATGTGATGTGAGTATCAGTCACA